CGTAGTTCATTCATTGTTATACCACGCCCCTGATGTTGCACCTGCTGATGGTAGTGCTTTATCAGCAACTTTGATACGTGACAGGTCTTTGGCAAGATTGCTGGATGCTTGATGTGGGCTTGCAAAGCAGCATGCTCTAGTCGGCCTCCCACCCTGAGAATACCATGTTCATCCAAGAAAGGGTCCAATCTGTGCAGTTTACTGGCTTTACTTTTGGATGTTACTTTCCTTTTGTCTTGAAGACTTTGGATTTCATCAAAGAAGGCTGCCTGTTGGAACATGCCTATGATGGTAGGTTCTGCATTCTTTCTCTCTTCAAGACTTGTAGCTTCATTGTTTCTTGATGCCAACCCTTTCAGCTCCTTGGCACGTCGCACAAGTCTTGCGATGGCTTTGCCCAACCTCGTCCAACTGGAGAACTTTAGGAAGCGATCTATCAATGAACCTTCTGCTGTTGTGGTGTGTACCTTGTGTACCACAGCTTTACGAACTTCTGGGTCTTCAACTTCAACATCTCCCACCATAATATCTCCACTGGGAAGCTCATCACACCAGAGAAAATCTGGACCAGTAAACCAGTTGGATGCAATCAAATCCTTTGCCTTGAGACCCCTCGACGTGTGGTCGGCAGGATTTTCTTCGGAGGCCACATGTCTCCACTGGTTTGGATTGGTACTGTCCTTGATGCGCTGGACACGGTTTGCAACAAATACATGAAACCGTCTGGCGTCATTGTTAACATATCCAAGAACAACCTTTGAGTCCGTCCAGAAGAAATCCTGTGCATCTTTCATTTCCAACTCTCTTTTAAGCATGTCACTTGTCCGAACGGCAACAACAGCAGCTGACAGCTCAAGTCTTGGCACCGTGGTGACCTTTGTGGGGGCCACTCTTGCCTTGCCCATGACCAAGGAACAGTGGATTTGTTTTGATGCACTGATTGCTCTCAGGTACGTACATTCTCCATACCCTTTGACACTTGCGTCTGAAAAGTGATGGAGTTCGTATTTTTGGACCTTTTTGAAACCTTCTGGAAGGTAACATCGCTGAATCTTGACATCTGCTAGGTTCTGTAGATCCAACAACCATTCCTCCCATTGTGGCCGAAGGTCATCAGATAGTGGTTCATCCCACCCGATCTTGTCTCGGCACATCTGCTGAAGTATTTGCTTCCCGACCAGAATGAAAGGAGCTACAAAGCCGAGTGGGTCGTAGATAGAGGCAACTGTTGACAAAACTCCTCTTCTATTGAGTGGACGCTCATTCACAATCACTCTGAACTGGAATTGGTCTGAAGCTACACACCATTTAACACCTAGCGCTCTTTCGATTTGCGGCTCACCCAAAGCTAAGTCTTGATTTCGTACCGTTTCAGCACACTCTTCTTTGGGGAGTGATGCAAGTACCTCTTGGCGGTTGGAAACAAACTTGTGGATATGTAGCTTGCCAGCGCTACAAAGCTGCCTTGCTTCACTGATCAACTGTATTGCTTCATCTATTGTGAACACGCTTGTCAGGCCATCATCCACATAAAAGTTTCTTTCAATGAAGCAAATGGATGCTTCGCTGAAGTAACCTTGTCCTTGGCTGGCAACATGTTTGAGACCATAATTTGCGCAGCCAGGTGATGAGGCTGCCCCAAACAAGTGCACTCTCATCCGGTAGACTGATGGTTGGGCTTGAAAGTCCCCGTTGTCCCACCAGAGAAATCTCAAATAGTCTTGGTCTTCTGCTTTTACGTGAAATTGATGGAACATGCGTTCAATATCGCACATTATTGCTACTGGACCTTTGCGAAACCGGCAGAGAACACCTACCAAACTATTTGTCAGTTCGGGCCCAGTAAGTAGGTGATCATTCAACGACACACCTTGAAACTTCGCCGAACAATCGAACACGACCCGTATTTTCCCTGGTTTCTGTGGGTGATACACCCCATGGTGCGGGATGTACCAGGCAGGGCTCTTGTCAAGTTGGTCTTCTGGTACCCTTTCAGCGTCTCCGCGAGCTATTGTTTCACTCATAAAGGTTACATAATCCTTATGGTACTGCTTGTCCCTCTCAAATCGTTTTCTCAAACACTTGAGACGGTGATCTGCACATTTCCTGTTATCTGGCAGACTTGGCCTGTCTTCCTTAAATGGCAGAGGCATTTCACAGTGACCATCTGCTTTTATCCTGACTCCTTCCTCCATTATTGATATGAAGCGGAAATCCTCTTGAGAGAAATGAGCATCCTCAACGGTTCTCTCTGTGAAGTCTGACTCAAGCACCTTTATCACATCTGGTGGAGTGATTAACTCCTTGACTTGTGTTCGGCAAATGTATCGGACTTCACTTGTTAGATTAGTAGGGGACTTAAGATGAGGTGTCACCTGTCTCACAATGATGCTGTGGCTGCTTCCAATGGCATCGCCATAGTCGACACAGGGATTGACACAGCCGACTATACTCCAGCCAAGGTCTGTTCTTTGAGCAAATGGCTCATTGTCTTTACCTGACACAATTTCTCTTGGCAGCAAGGCTTGAGAACAATTGTAACCTATGAGCAGACCAATGTCACATTGGATTAAAGGTGCAATCTCTTCGGCAAGGTGCTCTAGGTGCGGCCATGCCCTTGCTGTCTTGGGTGTAGGGATATGACTTAGATTGGCAGGAATGAATTCTCTTGAATAAGTTACTGGGAGAGCGATTTTCTTTGATGAATAAAAACCTCTGACCTGCAGCCCAGTAATCTTTTGACTTGGAATGACAGCTCTTTGGGATGACAATGTGGAGAGCTTTAAATGCACAGGCTCTTTCTGCGTGTCCAAAGTTTCTGCCTTTTCTTGCAAGATGAAGGTGGTGTCACTTTGGTTGTCCAGAAGTGCATATACGAGAACCTCAGTCTCTGGGTTACTTGTCGTGGACAGCCAGACTGGAATAACAGTGGATGTATAGGTGCTGTTTATGTCTTGCACCACTCTGTTAGATGTGGCTTCATACGACGTTTCATTGGTCTGTTTAGAATCTGTTCTTTCCTTCTCCTTTGAGTGTTTCTCACTCTCTTTACGTTCGTCAACCCGTTGTTCTTTCTTAGTACGATCTTCATGTAAACACGTTGGGTGCTTCTTTTTACATGTGTCACAGACACTTCTCTGTTCACAGTTCTTTGAATGGTGTCCTGTTTTCAAACATCCAAAGCACAATTTTTTTGTTTGCACAAACTTGACTCGTTCTGCTATAGACTTGTTTATGAACTTTCGGCATGTCTGGATGTCATGGTACAGCTTCTCACAAAAGACACACTCTTTAACATCTGGTCTTTCTTCAGAGTTACTTACCAATACTTTTGCACCAACGGTTCGAGTCTTTGGTGTCTTCATTTTTTCACCATCACCAGACTTCAGAGCATAAAGTGAGGTCACTGGGTTACAAGCTATCTTGGCTTCCTTTGTGACAAAGTCAACAAATTGGCTGAAGCTAGGGAATTCCTGGCTTACTTCTTCAATCTCAATGACCTTTCTGTTCCACCTGGCAGTTAACCAATCAGGAAGTTTGCTAAGCATTTTTTGGTTTTCACCACAGTCATTTAAGATTTCAAGACTCTTAATCTGAGACATTGCAGCTTGACAGCCTCGAAGGAAGTCTGAGAACTCTCTTAGTTCAGTGCTGTCCTTGGGTCCTATCTTTGGCCATGCAGTGAGCCTGTCCCTGAAGGCTTTAGCAATCACAAAGGAACTTCCGTACCTTTCTTCTAGAATGTCCCATGCTGCATAGTAGGCTGCATCTGTGCCTAACAGGAAGTAACTCTCAATGGCTTTCCTTGCAGGTCCGCTAACATACTTGCGGAGGTAGTAGACCTTCTCATTTACTGGAATATTCTTTTTCTTGGTTTTCAGTGGAGACCCACTAAGGTAGCAAAAGACTGGAAAAATGTCTTTCCAAACAATTGATCGACCAGCAGTGACGTGGGACCCTCTGCTGTGGGAGGTGCTGGAGCTGCATACAATAAAGACATTTTTACCAGAGGTCATTTAAAACCAAACACAAATCAAATGGTTCAAAGGCCAAGAATAGACCAAGGGTAATGGCCCTCACCATGCCAAAACCAGGCTGGTTTGGTGGTGTGTCGGTGTGTGTGGTGGTGTTGTGGTGTAGGTGTGGGTGTGCTCACCTTGGAAGGGTGGTGTTTAGAGGAGCAAGCTGAGGTGGCCCCTCAGTTGAGCAACTTCCCACCAGGGTTGAAGCAGCTTCTTGGTCCTGACGGCTCTGAAGAGACATGCGGGGTTACGGGTCTTTAATGTCGACTGGCTTGACCAGCACTTGGACCCGATTATTGTCACCGAGACTTGAAAGAAGAACCTAGTTTGAGCTTCATGCTTTTGCAAACACCTGAAGCACAAAGGCTTAATATTTGGTTGAAATAAATACTTAATGAAGACGAATGCATTGCCCGGTGGTTTTGATGGCAGATATTTATAT